TTACAGATTTTAAAAATATAGATCTAGTTACAAATGGAGAGAAAGGAAAGAGACATTATGGTACTGACTTTGGAAAAGAAGAGTCTTTTGAACAAATGGTATTGAGAAATAGGATATCCACATGAAAAAGGGAAATTGGACCCTTACCTTGCATTTGTACACAAAAACTAACTCAAAATAAAGACTTAAATATAAGACCTGAAAGTATAAAACTCCTAGTAGAAACAAAGGGGGAATACTTCTTGACATTAGTCTTGATAATGATCTGTTGATTATGACACCAATAGCAATGACAACAAAGCAAAAAGAGACAAGTGGGACTGTATCAAACTAAGGGACTTCCTGCACAATAAAGGAAACAATTGGCGGGATGAAAAGGCATCCTATAGAGTTGACGATAATACTTGAAAACAATGTATCTGATAAGGGGTTAACATCCAAAATACATAAGAAACCTCTCAGCAGCAAAAAAACAAATAACCTGGTTAGAAAATGGGCAAAGGACTTGAACAGATACTTTTTCAAAGATGACCTACACATCGCCAACAGAGATACGAAAAGATGTTCAACTTCATTAATTATCAAGGAAATGCAAATCAAAACTAAAATGAGATACCACCGTACAACTGTTAGGATGGCTATTGAAAACAAACCAAAAAAACGGGGTGCCTGAGTGCCTCATTCAGTTAAGCATCTGACTTCAGCTCAGGTTATGATCTCACGGTTCATGAGTTTGGGCCCCACGTCTGGCTCTGTACCGACAGCTGAGTCTGGAGCCTGCTTCAGATTCTGTGTCTCCCTCTCTCTCTGCCTGTCCCCAGTTCGCACTCTGTCTCTGTCTCTCTCTCCCTCAAAAATAAACAAATGTTAAAATTAAAAAAAAAAAAAAAAGTGAAATAAATGCCAAGTGTTACAGGATGTGGAGAAATTGGAACCCTGTATGTACACTATTGGTGGGAGTATAAAATGGTATGGCAACAATGGAAAACAGTGTGGATGTTCCTCCAAAAAGTAAGTAATATAACTGCTGTATGACCTAGCAATCCCACTTCTGAGTATGTATCCAGAAGGGCTAAAATCAGAATCTCAAAGAGCTACCTGTACCTCCATGTTTATTATAGTGTTATCACAATGGCAAAGAGACAGGAAAAAATCCCAGTGTCTATCAACAAATGAATGTGATATGTAAGAAAAGATAGTATATACAGACAGCCTGAAAGGAGAAAATCCTGCCAGTTGCAAAAATACAGATGAATCTAGAGGACATTATGCCAACTGAAATAAACCAGTCACAGCAGGACAAATATTGCATGTTTCTAACATGAAGTATCTAACTTAGTCAAACTCACACATACAGAGACTACAGTAGTGGTTGCCAGGGGTCTGGAAGGTGGAGGAAGGGTGGAGTTGTTCAGTGCGTGTAAAGTTTCAGCTCTGGTAGATGAATAAATTCTAGAGATGTACTGTACAACATAATGCTTATGCTTAACAATACAGTGTTGTGCATTTCAAAACTTGAGAGGGTAGACAGAGCTTATGTTAAGTCCCCGCTGAAAACCCCCTGAAAAAGACACGAGGAACCTTTGGGGAAGTGTTGGGTAGGTTTATTACTTTGATTGTGATAATGGTATCAGGTTGTACCGCACATGCTCATATTCATCAACTTGTACACATTAAATATGTGCAGTTCTTTGTATATCCCTTACATCTGAGTAAAGCTATTAAAAAATCAACGTACTGTCCAGCAATTGGATTATTGTATATGTATCTGATGATCAATATCTTATTATAAACAAAGAAACTGTAGTATCACATCTGCAGAATACAAAAATCAATTTAATTGCAGTGTAAATAATGAGTTTTAGGAGACTGTGACTAAAGGAAGAAAATTTAGTTACAAGGTTGTTTTAGTGATCTAGTTAACTAGTAATCTGTGCTTAGATTTCTGGTTTGCACAATAGGGCAGGTAGTATACCCTGTCACCTGGGGGGTGGGGGGCGTGGACCTAGGAGGGTTGGATTTCTCTGGGAAGATCATGAGATCAGGGTGGAGCATTAAGTCTGTTAGCAGTGTGGAGATTATCTATATAGTGATGGTTGAGCAGTTCTGGAGTTGTCTGTTTGGCCTAAAGAAATTTGGGAATGATCATGTATAGAGAGGGTGCTTACTGAAGCTTGGAGTAGTAAATATACCCATGGAAAGTATTTCAATTTACTCTGTGTAAACATATCTATGTATACATGTTAAACAATGTTAATTGCAAGCCACGATAAAGAACTGTGGTTTTAATCAGTAACATAAAACATAATTTGCAAACTACTTGTAAATAACGGTAGCCTTAATAAATAGAATGATGAAGGTCATAAATGATTATTTTTATATCAAGTAGTTGACTTCAATTTACTTAAACAAATATTTATTGAATAGCTTTTGGAGTTTGTGTTGCTGTCATAAGTGGTGGTATTACAAAGAAAAAATATCACTGAGAACTGCACTTAAGTTGTTTTGTTATAAACCAGGAAGTGGTAGTATCAGGTTTACAGAATACAAATACCAACTTAATTGCAATATAAATAATGGGAGTTAGGGGAATATGACTAGAGGGGGAAAAACCAGTTAGAAGGTTGTTTTAAATGGTTTTATGAGGCACACTGATATGTTCAGTGTTACATTTTAGATAGGGTACTCCGCAGTAGGGTATTAGAAGATAGTGATGGCATGTCTGGATATGGAAACAAGAAAAAGGGGGTTATTTTATATACTTTTTACTGTCCTCTGCAAGGACTTGTTTATTTTTTTAAGGGGGTTATCCTAATAGTACATAAAAATATTAGGGTAAATAGAGTTATCAAGAAATTTGCTAAAAATAGAATCAGGTCTTTAGTTAATGAATTTATCAGGTGTAAAAAACAATCTGCAGGGATCCCAGCTGGTTTCTTGTTTGCATAGCTAAAGAATTGTGGCACATTTAATGAAAGAGGAGATAAAGTGCAGCCCATAGTAAAGTCAAAACAAAACTTGGAAGTTTGGTTTCTGATTTCCGGATTCTGGCATCTAAATTTATAGATAAGTATGGCACATTGGAAGAGAACAGGTATGCTAAAAGGGATCCTAAAAGGTTATTTGCAGGTATTAAACTCTCGTTACTACTCTTACTTTTTTCCCCTGTGTATAGAAGGTTAGAAGAGTTGAAACTAGCTTTGTGAAACTGAGCCATGAAATCATCTAAGTGTGAACCCTGACTGAAGTGATGGGATGAAATGGGTTTTCCTTAAGTACATATGAGTACAAAATATACCTTTAAGGAAGTGAGTACTTCCTTTTCATCTCACTCATGGTATACTGTATTCTTGCATTGTTGTCTTGTATCTGTTTTTGGATAAATAATGTTGGTAGAATTTCCAGTAATTTTTTTAAAATGTGTTTTGCTTATTTGAAACCATAAGATCCTTAATTCTTAAACTTTTAGTTTTGATGGCTTTTTATATAAAATATTCAGTAAGTATTGGTATCATTTAAACATACTACTTTATGAGAAACTCTTTACTTCAGTTGAAAGTAATTATAAATTGAGTTTTAAAATCAGTAATGGCTTTAGTTCTTATCATTAGTGAAAATGTATTTAAGTTAATTCCCATAGAATATTGTCTGAAATAACTGAATTCAGACGTTGGCTAAAAGTTTAGCCTCAGAAGAAATTTTAAACCTAGTCTATAATATTGTATTCCATATTTGAAAATAGAATCTTAAAAGAAATAATAAATCTTAAAAGTTCTCATCACAAGGGAAGAAAAAAATTCTCAAAACTTTATAGTGTGACAGACTTATTGTGATTGTTTTACGGTGTATACAAATGAATTATGCTGTACACCTGAAACTAATATGATATACGTTGATTTTTTTTACCTCAAAAAAAAAAAAAAAAAAGAACCTCATAGAATTCACAGATGCCTTCCTAGTAATGAATAGTCTCTATTAAATCCAGTGCTTCTGGATTTATATCAGTATTTGGCAGTGCTTAGATGCTCCACACAGTACCTGTGTGTGAGAAAAGACATTTCTAGGGATGACATATGTAAAGTTTCATTACAAGCATTAACAGATAAACATTTGCAATTGATTATGATAATAAGGAACACTACTTTCAGCCCCAATTAAACATTATTCCCCTCCTACCGAAAGATGCATTATTCTCATTAATAGATCTATATTACAAAAAAATGTACTCCATTATTATTTGAATTTAATCAATAAAAACCTTGTAGAGAAAATATATGTAGAACCTTTTTATACTCTTTGCCTAATTAAGTCTGTAAAGTTAATAATGTGTAATCAAATTACAAGTGGTGCTGCATTTAACTTGATAACTGCACAAACTAGATACTTGACAACTTTCATACTAAAATTGTATAGACTCTATGCTCAATATGTATATAGTATATTCATTAAGAAAGTACACACATGTCATCTTGTATTAGTAGTTACTATTCTATAAATACAGTACAGAATACATCATAATAAAAATAAATATGGTCTTTAAAAAACAATTCCTGGGGCACCTGGGTGGCTCAGTCCGTTAAGCATCTGACTTTGGCTCAGGTCATGATCTCATGGTTCATGAGTTCGAGCCCCACATTGGGCTCTGTGCTGACAGCTCAGAACCTGATGCCTCCTTCAGATTCTGTGTCTCTCTCTTTCTCTGCCCCTCTCCTGCTTGTGATCTCTCTCAAAAATAAACAAACATTAAAAAATTAAAAAAAAATAAACTATTCCTGGTAAGATGCACAGTCCCAATGACAGGCAAAAAATTCTATTAATGCTAATGGACGTGAAGAGCTATGAAGCAGGGACAGTTAGTTGACTCTTGTTTACTAGGGTAGTTTTAGCTGAAGTGAAACAGAGCTTAAAATTTCTAAATTGAATGATATTTTAAGTGAAAAATTATCTGTTGTTGATACGAGTGTCATGCAACTTACTCTGCTTTTATCTGTCTTTCACAGAGCTCTTTAATAAGCATTTACGGTCAGTTTTTGGCAGCCTTAGAATCACTGAGAGCATTCTGGGATGTTACGGATGAAATCGATGAGAAGACTTGGGTACTGGAGCCAGAAAAACCTACCCGGAGTGCAACAGCACGCAGGATTGCACTGGGTAGGGAAAAGGGATTAAGGAGGCTTTTTGTTTGTTTAGATGTTGGATTATACTTTGTATTACTAAGGAAAATGGAGCTCAAGAGGACATTGGACCCTTAGGTGAGACTTTTTTTGCATGAAGTCAACTATTTAAAAATTTTTTTTTTCAACATTTATTTATTTTTGGGACAGAGAGAGACAGAGCATGAACGGGGGAGGGGCAGAGAGAGAGGGAGACACAGAATCGGAAACAGGCTTCAGGCTCTGAGCCATCAGCCCAGAGCCTGACGCGGGGCTCGAACTCACGGACCGCGAGATCGTGACCTGGCTGAAGTCGGATGCTCAACCGACTGCGCCACCCAGGCGCCCCTGAAGTCAACTATTTAAGCTCTGATTTAGCCCTGTGTATTTGAATGTAAATATTTCAGGAGAAAGGGCAAGTACTAAGGTGTTTCATTATAAAAGGTGATGATCCAATGGCAGTATCATTCAGAGATCCTGTATGATCAGCTGTTAAGTAGCTCAGAAGTAGTGGAACCGGTTTTTTCAGAACTTCCATTATTTGGGAAAAGAAACTGTTAGAAATAGGGGCACCTGGGTGGCTCAAGTCGGTTAAGTGTTGGACGTCAGCTTAGGTCATGATTGTACAGTTTGTGAGTGCAAGCCCCGCACTGGGCTCTGTGCTGACCGCTCAGAGCCTGGAGCCTACTTTGGGTTCTGTCCCCCTCTCTCTCTCTGCCCCTCCCTCACTCATGCTCTGTCTTTCTCCTTCAAAATTAAATAAACATTAAGAAAAAAAAAAAATTTTTTTTTTAAAAAGAAACTGTTAGAAATAATGAAATCTTCATCCATGAAACTAGACAAGATTAATATCAACAGATCTGGGAATATTTTCTGATGAACTTTAGAGGATGAAAGGATCCAGGGGCGCCTGGGTGGCGCAGTCGGTTAAGCGTCCGACTTCAGCCAGGTCACGATCTCGCGGTCCGTGAGTTCGAGCCCCGCGTCGGGCTCTGGGCTGATGGCTCAGAGCCTGGAGCCTGTTTCCGGTTCTGTGTCTCCCTCTCTCTCTGCCCCTCGCCCGTTCATGCTCTGTCTCTCTCTGTCCCAAAAATAAATAAACGTTGAAAAAAAAAAAATTAAAAAAAAAAAAAAAAAAAGAAAGGATCGGAAGTGGGCCATACATGCCATTGAAGAGTAAACAGGAAGCACAAAATAATTAAATATATTTTAAGTATTTACTATAAATATATGTGACATTAATGAATAAGATGTGGTACAACTGTGAATACCCCTGCAACATTACCATATTCTTTATTATAAAATTACTGTTTTATGTATTTTCATTATGAGCAAGCCATATATGAAGTCAGTTTTGAGTTCAGCCTCTCCAGATTTTAGATGTTTTAAACTATGTTTCAGTTCACAGTAAATAGTGTAGTTAGGTGATTATATGATATCTATTTGTGTCTTCCCTTCTCTTTTTTTTTTTTTTTAGCCTAAATAAATATATTGTTAAAAGACATATGTTCTGAAAGATATTATGAAATTCTGTTGTGAGTCCTATCCACATTAGCAATTTTTATGGTTTCTCCCCAGGCATAATAGATTATCTGGGAGAAAATAAGTAACATGTAATTATGAGAAAAGGAAGATACCGTTGTATAGCAGTTGTACAAATAGTATTGTTACTTAGTCTAAAAAGTTTAATCCATATTTAATTTTGAATAGTTGACCAAATAATGGTATATTTGTGAACAAATAGATATTAAGAATGAAAATAGTTTCTTCAAAATAGTGTAGTAATTTATTTTCTTCATAGCCCCATGTAAATAATTATTTTAATTAGGTAATGATTAAATATACTTTTATTGTGTATCTCATTGTTCAGCATAAACAACCTGCTTTTTAGTCACTTTCTCTGTATTTACCTATAGCTCTTTTTTATCCCCTTTCAGGCACTGATATGCCTTTTGAAGACCAAGTTTTCAGCAAACTAATTGAGATATATTAAATAATATACTCATTATTAAGAGAAGCCATTAGTATATGACATAGCTAAAGGCTAATATGGGATTTGTGTTCATGGTAAAGAATGTATAAGCAAATGAGATTATAGCACTTTTATGTTTTATATATCATTTTTACTTGATTACCTTTTTGTCAGATCTGTAATAATTGTGTTCATATTGTTGTCAACCTTAACCAAAAGTTAATGTTATGGTGTGTAGAATTTATTAAGTCCTTTTTACTGTAAAAATAAAATCCAAATACCCTTATACAATTATACTATGTGCCTTTAAAAGTAAAACTTCTGAAATCCATACAATATTCCAGTATAGATAGAACTTATGAAAGAATCTAGTGCCAAGTAGAAATAGATTTTTCTTAGATCCTATAAACTAGGTTAGTTGTTTGTTATTAAACGAACAGTTTCAGTTTAATGTGAATTGAGTCCGTTGTTGAAGTGGAAAGCTTCACAATGAGCAAAAGAATTCAGAAAATGTTTTTTAAAAATATTTAAATTCCAGTTGACATAAAATGTAATTTTGGTTTCAGGGGTACAATATAGTGATTCAGCAGTTCCATGTTACTCAGTGATCATCAAGATAAGTTTTGATTTGTATTTTCCTGATGAAGAGTGATGTTGACCATGTGTCCATTGGCTATCTGCATGTCTTCTTGGGAAAAATGTCTGTTCGTGTCCTCTGTCCATTTCTTAACTGCATTATTCATTTTTGCGATGTTGAGTTTTATAAGTTCTTTATAGATTTTGGATACTAACCCTTTCTCAGATATGTCATTTACAAATATCTTCTCCCAGTTTGTAGGTTGCCTTTTAGTTTTGTTGACCATTTCCTTTGCTGTGCAGAAGCTTTTTATTTTGCTGAAGTCCCAATAGTTTATTTTTGCTTTTGTGTCCCTTACCTCAGGAGACATCTCTAGAAAGAAGTTGCTACAGCCACCATCAAAGGGATGTTCTCCTCTAGGATTTTTATGGTTTTAGTTCTCACATTTATTTAGATCTTTCATCCATTTGGAATTTACTTTTATGTTTGGTGTAAGAAATAGTCCAGTTTTTCCAACACCATTTGTTGAAGAGATTGTCTTTTTCCCAATGGATATTATTTCCTGCTTTGTCGAAGATTAATTGACCATATACTTATGGGTTTATTTCTGAGTATTCTGTTTTGTTCCATTGATGTATATTTTGTGCCAGTACTACACTGTTTCGATCACTACAACTTTGTAATATAATTTGAAGTCTGGAATAGTGATACCTCCAGCTTTGCTTTTCTTTTTCAAGGTTGCTTTGGCTATTCAGGGTCTTTTCTGGCTCCATACAAATATCAGGGTTGTTTTTCTAACTCTGTGTAAAATGCTAATGGTAGTTTGACAGGGATTGCATATTACATGTGTAGATTGCTTTAGGTAATAAAGACATTTTAGCAATATTCATTTTTCTAACCTATGAGCATGGAATGTCTTTCCATTTTTTTGTATCACTGTTTCCCTTCATCAGTGTTGTATAGTTTTCAGAGCACAGGTCTTTCACCTCTTTGGTTGGGTTTATTCCTAGGTATCTTTTTTTTTTTTTTTTTTTTTTTTTTTTTGGTGTAGTTGTAAGTGGGATTGATTTCTTAATTTCTCTTTCTGCTGCTTCGTTTTTAGCGTATAGAAATGCAACAGATTTCTGTATGTTGATTTTGTATCCTGTGACTTTACTGAATTCATATATAAGTTCTAGCAGTTTTTTAGAGGAGTCTTTTGGGTTTTCTCTATGGAGTATCAGAAAGTTTTACTTCCTTGCTGATTTGGATACCTGATATAAGTGAGATGTTAAAATTCCCTGCTATTACTGTGTTATTACCAATTAGTTCCTTTATGTTTGTTATTGTTTTATATATTTGGGTGCTTTCATGTTGGGTGCATAGATATTTACAATTGTTAGATATTCTTGTTGGATTGTCCCCTTTATTATGATATAGTGCCCTTCTTCATCTCTTGTTATGGTCCTTGGCTTAAAGTCTAGTTTGTCCAGTATAAGTATTGCTACTCTGGCTTTCTTTTGACATCCATTTGTGTAGTAAATATTTCTCTTTAAGTCTAAAATGAGTCTCTTGTAGGCAGAATATAGATAGGTCTTAACTTTTGTTTATCCATTCTGACAACCTCTGTCTTTTGATTGGAGCGTTTAGTCCACTTCATTGGAAGTGATTATTGATAGAAAATGTTTCGATAAAACTCCATAAAACTCAAATCATAATTTATTGTATGCTGGTCTTTTTACGTCTGACCATAATTGTGCTTTCCAAGAAAGTTATGGAAGTCACTTTGATAATTATTTCTTGAACTTGTGATTTCTTTTAATATTAAAGATCTGTCACTCTATAAAAAATTTTTATTTAAGCTAAAATAGAATTCTGACCAGAATTTCACTAGAAATCAATTAACTTAATGGATTGACTCTGTATTTTAAAACTTTAGATGGATCCCCAAATCTTTATTCATAATCATAATTTCAAAGTGCATTTCTTTTAGACTATAAAATTATATTTATAAATATATTTTATAAATAAATACATTTATATATTTATTGAAACCCATAACACATTGGCTAATCTTTCCTGTGGTACAGTAAGTACCCAGACAGATACTGCTTTATTTTTTATTTGATGAACTTCTACTTCTATAAACTTTAATGTTCTTTTATTCTAGGGAATAATGCTTCAATACATATAGAGGTTGACCCCAAGCATCCTACTATGCTTCCTGAGTGCTGCTTTCTTGGAGCTGACCATGGTATGAGCTCTCCTATTTAAATGTTTTTAACAGTCATAAAATTCTTGTCTTTCACTGTTAAAATATTCTAAAATACTAACATATGGTAATTATTTTAAATGAAAATGTTTCATCATTCTGAACTGTGTAGTTTTGTGTTTTTTTAAGTAGATGATTTAGATTTTCCAGTCAAATAATTAGCAAATTCTGTGTTTTAACAAGAGAGTATATTACAGACTTGCTAAGAGATCTTAGAAGTTTTCATCAGAAAATAATTTGTAACTACATGTGGTAATAGGTATTAACTGAATTTGTAGTGATCATTTTGCAATACACACACATACCAAATCATGATGTTGTACACCTAAAAGTAATACAATATTATATACCAATTATATCTCAGTTAAAAAAAAATTCTGTGCTAAATGTGGCTTTACAAAGCGAGAGCTGCAGACACTACATTTTTAAACTTTTTTTTTTTTTTTTTTTTTTTTTTTTTAAATCTCTGAAGTGGTAAAACCTCTTGGAATTAAGCTGAGCAGGAACATACATTTGTGGTAGGTATTTTTTGTAACACAATGTTTATTTTTCTATTATTTTGCAAATTTAATAACAATTTTTTTTTCATGCTTTTAGGGATCCAGAAAATAGTCTGTTACAAAATTTGAAAGATGTTTTAGAAATAGATTTTCCAGCTCGCACTAACCTGGAAAAATCTGTAAGTTTTATGAGTGCTTTGATATTCCAAACAGCATAGCATAATGAAAGTTAAATGTTCTTCTTTTAGACACCAGAGAAAAATGAGGCTGAAAGGGAGGGAATTGGAAGAATATTGTAACAGACTTCTGAACTGCAAGCAACAGTAGCATCAAAGAATTTGTTAACCTTTGATTAGTGGTTTAAGTGTACTTTTGTCATGGTCTTTGTAGCAATGAAGTGATTAATGACAGACATCTTTATTATTAAAAATAGGGGGAAAGGTCCAAAGTAGCTAATGAGATGTTTGGATATTCTAATACTATCTGCTTATGGATGATTGAAATAAAGTTTTAATTAGCTTGATGTATTTTGTGAAGGATGGCAGTACAGTTTTTGAAAATGAATAGATGTTACTGTGTTGCAAAAATGATAAACTTGGAATTGAGTTTTGATAAAGTTGCAGAGTTTGTAGACTATTAAAGTGGTGGGAATGTTTTTGTCTTCTTCCTTTAGTTCAAGAATTTTGAAGTTTAGTAATCATTAGCTAATATCAGTTAGTATCTTTATATATTACATTGGCATAATATTGATGTACAATGTGGGAAATTTACTTAAGCCCCAAATAGAATCTGTTTTTAGTATATCTATGTGTATTACTTACTGGATGAAAAAGGAAGCACTCTTACAAATCGCTTTGCTGAAGTGTTAAGCAGTGATGTAACTGTATTTTCTGTAAAGAATGCTATAGTTACCTTTATGAAAACTTTGAAAATTTGATCTTGTCTATCCCATATTATTCTTACATTAGCTTGTGTGTTTTAAACACTTGTGCTGATAAATATTTCTTCTTTTGAAGGATTTTTCTATGGATTGTGGCATTTGTTATTCATATCAACTTGATGGTGCCATTCCTGATCAAGTGTGTGATAATCCTCAATGTGCACAGCCTTTCCATCAAATATGCTTATATGAGGTAAAAAATAAAAATAACGCAGTTAAGACTATTTTGGCTACCATGACCTAGCAAGTCTGCATGTTGAAATATACAGAATCCAAAATCTGTTTAAGTGAATAGCAATCTCTTTTTTCCATTAGCTTCTTTACCAGTCCATTTCCAGATGCCCGTGTGCTTTCATTTCTTCATCCTGGTTACTAATGAGTGAATAAATGTCCTAAAGTAGTATCCTAGGAAGGGAGAAAATGTATCCAGAATATATTCATGGGCTGCTTACTGATGCATAACAGATCAAATTGATGCTACATTGGAATCTTTCAGTGAAAATCTCATGTGACCACAATGCAAACTGTCACTCATCCAAGTGGGAGTAGTAGTGGTAGCAATAAGGTGAAAGGGAACTGGCACTAATGAGTGTCTGTTACTTTTCAAAGTATATTTAAGTATAGAATAAATGTAATAATCTTACTTTTGATATTGAGAAAAATGCGTTTTGTGATCTGGATATGTCACAGCACTCTCAGTGACATTTTATTTATAATTTACTATCTGTGAAGTCAGCTTTCATTCCTGTGTATAGTCATTTGATCTCTACAGCATTCATCTTAGGGCACAGTTGACATGATTATATATGCATGTATATATGAAACACCTTGCAGTTGTATAGTGCGTTCAGTCTTCTTGAATATCACCTCTTGTTTTTGTGATTAGAGGTAGCAAGCAGTTGGTGTTACCTGCACTTTAAGAATGGAGAACTTAGAGATGTCAATTCACCTTCTATAAACTCACAAAATACCAGGTCTAATTATAGAGATACTCTTAAGGGAACATGTGCTTTCTTTTATAATAATGAATATTCATTTAATTTTTAAAAATGGACTGCCTCATGCTTATAATTAGTGGATTGAGAATTAACCCACTATTGGTGATTAAGACCAGAATTGAGACCTAAATTTTCACGAGCTTACAGTATCTTTTACAGCAAGAGTTCTTAATTTGTAATTAATGACTTCAGGTCAGGTCTGTGAACCCCATTGACTTGTGTACATTATTTTTGTGTCTATTTTGGATGTTGAGAAAATGCATAAAGGGGCCCATAATTTGGCTATAAACCAGTGTTATAGATCTCGAAATTCGTGGTAGTCTCCCCTTATTATTCAGCATACTACTAGTCTGGTATTGGCCAGGAAATGTTCCCCTTACTTTTTGTAAAAGAAAATTAAGAAGGTAAATCTTTTGGAATAAAAATATATGTAATCATAAAGGAAATGAACTTAGAGTATCTGTAATGTGTAATCATGCTGACATTGCTCCCTTTTTCTTCTCTTTTTAAAATCTTCAGTGGTTGAGAGGACTGTTGACTAGTAGACAGAGTTTTAACATCATATTTGGTGAATGCCCATATTGCAGTAAGGTAAGGAAATCATTAACCAAATTTCATAAAATACGCCTAGCTTTTAATAGTGTGCTTTGGAAGATAGAGAAGTATATAGTATATCAGCTTATGCAAAACTTTTTGTTACTTCTGTTATTCTATGTGGTAAGAAAAAAAAAGGGGTAAAATTGTCCCTGTCAATAACATTTTGTTTTTTAAATTGCTCCTTTGATCAAAAAAAGTTATTTTTCAAACTATATCATGACACTGTTTTCTACAATAAAGCAATCTTATTTTTTAGAATGTCCACAAACTTACTTTGTTAAATTGTATTCTCTTTTTACAAGCCAATTACCTTGAAAATGTCTGGGAGGAAATCCTAAAATAAGAATGTAACATTTCTGTGAAGAATTGGCAGCCTTAAGAATTATCAAAAGGATTTTATTTGATATCTTCAGAGAAAGTATAAAGTAAGACCTACTAAAATCAAAAGAAAAAGAACGATAAAGCCATAATAATACACGTCAGTAACTGTCTCTTCATTGAGCGTAGAGTCTCTGACCTCCATTCCGGTTGGAGAAGTATATGTATACCAAGATGAAGATCTTGAATTGTCGAGTATATACGGACTGATAAAATCTTGATATGGTTTGTAAAGTGAATTTGGGAACTGTATAGAGCTCGGTTTTTGTGGAGAACTGTTTCTTTCATTCAGAATTTGAGACTCACGGTACTTTTGTCTTCTCTTTGTGCTTTCCTATGGAAAAGTATATATATTGTGTTAGGTCTGAGTTATCCTTATACTGTGTACTCTAAGAGTTCTAAATAAAACATGTTACACAAAACGAACAAATTTTTTGCATATTCTTCCTGAGAAGTTTTTTATAAAGTACTTACCCCATTAACCAACCCAAATCTAGTTAAACTGATTGGTTCTTTTAAATCAGGCAATAGGGGCGCCTGGGTGGCACAGTCGGTTAAGCGTCCGACTTCAGCCAGGTCACGATCTCGCGGTCCGTGAGTTCGAGCCCCGCGTCGGGCTCTGGGCTGATGGCTCAGAGCCTGGAGCCTGTTTCCGATTCTGTGTCTCCCTCTATCTCTGCCCCTCCCCCCGTTCATGCTCTGTCTCTCTCTGTCCCAAAAATAAATAAACGTTGAAAAAAAAAATTAAAAAAAAAATAAATCAGGCAATAGGCCATCTTATAAATAATTTGTCCTCTAAAAATACAACGAACTATGAAACCTGAATTTTCTTGGCAAGACAAATCTTATGTGGGCAAGATAGTCACGATTAGAAAGCTTTTTGGTTATTAATAATTAGTGATTCTGAGGCAGCCATGGCAGCAGAGTGAGATGTTGGTGGCAGTGCTGCACGTCCACAGAGCAGCCTCGGTCCAGCAGCCTTCTGCCTGGATTCCAGAGAATGACATCTCCCAATAACAGACCTTAAGAAGAAAGTTGGTTAAAATCCTTATTTGTCCTGAACGTTGATCCAAGAAAAGATGCTCATTTCCTAGCCAAAAAGGAAAAAGTCTCCACAGATTACAGTTTTGCAATGTTAAACTGGAATGCCTACAAGCGTACGACAAAATTTGTCAGAGGATGTTGCCAAAGACTCAAGAAGATCAACATGACCCTTGTTCTTTGGTGGGGACTTAGAACACACTGTTTGGAAAGCAGCGTCAAGCTGTCCACCCGTGGAGGTATGAAGGAGGATATCATTATAAATAAACCTCCGAATACCCTCAGAGAAAATCAGGTATTTGTGAAATTCCATAAAGCAAGAAGCAAAATACCTATTTCTAAGAAGAATCAGCTGTTACTAGAATTCAGTTTCTGGAGTGAGCCTGTCTCACGGAGGGCCTGATATATGTGAATTCAGAGCCTAGAACTCCCACAAGGAGCGGTGATTACATAGGGCAGTTATTGTTTAGCCAAACAAAAAAACAATTTTCCCCCAAACTGATCTATAGATTCAACACTGTCCCAGTCAAAATCCAATCAGGCTTTGGAAATGCAGTGGACCCAGAATAGCTAAAACAACCTTGACATTCAAGAACAAAGTGGAAAAACATACTTTACAATTTGAAAACTAATCACAAAGCTAGACTAATCAAGACAGTATGGTCCTGGCACAGGGACAGGCATACAGATCAGTGGAATAGAATTGAAAGTCCAGAAGAAAACTCTCACATACATGAGGAATTGGTTTCCAACAAATGTACGAAGGCAATTCAGTGGGGACAGGTAATCTTCAACAAAGGTGCAGAGACAACTGGACATCCTTGTAAAAATATAAATTTAGACCTACTTCATTTTGTACAAAAATTGACCAGAACCAAATTGTAAATGTAAATATAGCTGGAATTTAAAACTTTAAGGGAAAAAAAAAAAAACACAGGAGAAAATCTGTGATCTGGGGTCAGGTAAAGTGTTCTCTATAATATCAAACGTACAAAAGCAAATAAAAGTTTACATAATTGAAGGACATCATTTAAAAAATTCAAAGACAACTCACAGACTGGGAGAAAATTCTGCAAATCATTTATCTGATAAAGGATTTGTATCCAGAATACATAAAGACTTGAATAGACAGTTCTCTGAAAGCATATGAAAAGATGGTCAACATCACCAATTGCAAGAGAAATGCAAATCAAACTATAATGAGATATCATCTTACCCTTTAAGGCCATTATCAAAAGAACAGAAAATAACAAATGATGAAGATACAGAGAAATTGGAACCCTTGTGTACTGTTGAGAGGACTGTAAAATGGTGTAGCCATTATGGGAAACAGCACAGAAGTTCCTCAAAACATTAGAAGTAGAATTACCATATAATCCAGCAATCCTACTTCCGGGTATATATTGAGAACTCAAGTGTCTTGAAGAGATATATGTACACCCATGTTCATCATAGCATTATTCACAGTAGCCAAGAGGCAGAAGCAACCCAGATTCCTATGGGCAGATGAATAAAGAATATATACATATAATGGATTATACAGCCTTAAAAAAGGAAATCCTGCCACATGCTACAATATGGATCAATCCTTGAGGACATTCTGAAGAGCAAATTAAGCCAGTCACAAAAGGACATCTATGATTCCACTAACACGAAATATCTAAAGAAGTCAAAATAACAGAAACAAAAAGGTAGTTGCCAAGGTAGAGGGTAGTTGGTCTAAAGTTTCAATTTTGCAAGATGTAAAAGTTCTAGAGATCTTTTGCACAACAGTGTGAATATACTTGGCACTACTAAACTACACGGTTAAGTTTAATGTTACTTGCTTTTTACTACAATAAAAAATAAAAATAGTCATTCCCAACCTTTATCATGACATGGAACCCTTTACCTGACCTACATGCCATATATTGGATAAAGGAATTGGCTGTTCACAACCAGAGGAAATTGCCTCAGGGTGGATATTGTGGCATGTCTCATAGAAAGCTCTGGGAACAGACCAACCACTGTAGACTGAATATTATTGATATATCCAAGTTCCAGGAATTTCTTACACCATTCCTATTAGCCAGAGCTCTTAATCAGTTTCCTGATTTAATCTTAACTGGTTACGAGTTGTTCTGTTTCTGCTTCACTTTGGTGACCTGCCCTGCCCTGTCCTTGTACTATTTATCAAGTAACTTAGAAGGAAAAAATTAAAAAACAAGGCAAAATATTTCAATCTTCAACCATCTGATGTAATACCATCATTCTTCACAATAGCTACTTTCTTGACCTCTTCAAAGAGCCTTTTTTACCCCCCTGAAAGTCACTTTCAGGATGCAGTTTTAGAAGGCAAGAAGTAATTACCTTCTACATAAGGTATACAAAACCAAATAGAGGACTTGAAGGAAGGCCCTTTAACTTTTCTACTTAGAAGAAATCATTGGAAGTCAAATAACTAACTTTAAGCTACTCTTTACTGCCTGAGAGCTAATAAAGACACACTATCCCAATTGTCCTAAAGTTTTCTCAGCTTTAGAGGTGCCTAGCTGGCCCAGGGTGTACAGCACGTGACTTTTGATCTCAGGGGCATGAGTTCATGCCCCACATGGGTGTGGAGCCTACTTTAAAAAAAAAATTGTCGGGGCGCCTGGGTGGCGCAGTCGGTTAAGCGTCCGGCTTCAGCCAGGTCACGATCTCGCGGTCCGTGAGTTCGAGCCCCGCGTCAGGCTCTGGGCTGATGGCTCGGAGCCTGGAGCCTGTTTCCGATTCTGTGTCTCCCTCTCTCTCTGCCCCTCCCCCGTTCATGCTCTGTCTCTCTCTGTCCCAAAAATAAATAAAAACGTTGAAAAAAATAAAAAAAAAATTGTCAGCTTTATTTGCTAAAGGCAAAATAATTACTCCTGTGGCCCCCTAAAGCATTGTTCTCCCACAAAGAAAAAGAAATATGCCATCAAATTTTATAGTTTTAAAGACGGAGAGCCACTAGTTAGCTAACAAGTAGCATTTACATATAATAACTTACATGTAGAAGTAGACGATATCCCCATCCAGGTAAGAACAGAAGTCAAGCTACTAAAATTTCAAGGTTGGTTACACACTAGAGAAGTCTGTGTACCTAATCTCTCTTTAAGCAACAACTGATATCAAATGGGAAGGCCCTCATCTAAGGATTTAACCACCAGTTGTCTTCGGCTTACTGAGAGATCTGCTTGGGAAAGATAGTCTATGGCATAGGTTGTAAAATGTTGTGAGTTGCCTGTTTTGTGAATAAAGATTGATTGGAACACAGCCACACTCATTTGTATTTTACTGTGTATGGCTGCTTTTATACTGCAATGGCAGAGTTGAATTGTTTCTGACAAAGGCTAGGCTGTAAACCCAAAATATTTACCATCTGGCTCTTTACGAAAAAGCTTTCTGGTCTATGGCATAGTATTTCAAACATTAGAAAAAGCATACAAATCATTTTGGGATCCTGTTAAAATACAGATTTCAGGGGAGCCTGGGTGGCTCAGGTGGTTAAGCCTCGACTTTGGTTCAGGTCATGATCTTGCGATTTGTGAGTTTGAACCCCACACTGGCCTCTTCTGTCAGTGCAGAGTCTGCTTTGGATCCTGTCTTTCTCTCAAAAATAACAAACATGAAAAATACACGTTTCATTCAGAAGGTCTAAGATAAGACTTAGATCCTGTGTTTCTAAGAAGCTCCAGGTGATGCCAGTGCAGCTGGTTGGCACAGCAGACTTTTAGTAGCAGAGGCTTAAGGCATGCAATAATCCTAGTCAGTATAGTGTTTCTGAACCTGGGACACTTGTGCTCCATAGGACATTTAACAATTTCTGGAGACATTCTGGGTACTACAACTGGGAGGAAGTACTATTGGCATCTACTAGATAAAGGCCAGAGATGGCTTACAGTGTACAGAACAGCCAGCTCAGTAAGCCCAGAGTGGTGCTGCTGAGAAACCTTGAATTCTGAGCAAGTTATTAACCTTGAATGCACGTCAGAGTCAATTAGGAAGCTATGAAAAATACCAATACCCTTTTTAGTTCTAGCCATGAATAATGGGCATCAGATCTCCCCTCCTGCTGTGAAAAGCCCATGAAATGAATACAAACCAGAGTTGGACAAAATATATGAAGGAACTTATCACACAGAGAAAACAAGGCTGTGATTCTTGAGGAAAGGAAAACACCCAGACTGATAAAGGCTACGGTTTCAGATGATCTTTACCTTAGCCCAGCCTTCAAAAAGCCTAAATGAAGTGAAGACATGACTAATCAAGTTGAACCACCAATAAATTATTTGTCTGCCAGAACAAAAGTCAGTACTCTTTAAAGGAATACAATAAAATGTGGAGTTTCAAGAACTGACTAGCAGCCACGATATTCAGCGTATAAT